TGCCCCGGGAGCGCCGGGCGGGCATCCCGCCGCCGCCACCGCCCCCCGCCCCGCCGCCCCCCGCCCCGCGCCCGGGCTCCAATTAACCCGACAATTTTTTCCTCGTTAATTTCGGCGCGAGCCGCGGGGATGTGTTGCACAAAAAACGAGCGAGTCGCTGGGGCAGAAAGGAGGGCGGAAGGAGGGACCCGCCGGGAGGCTGCCGGCACCCGGCTCCGGCTGGCAGCCAGCGCCGGAAAGGCGCCTTTTTTCATATTTAAACCACGCGGAATATGTACATTTTTGATTCCTACTTACGCTTTCAGGGGGTTGTGAATGACAGTCGCCATTTTGCTACAATGTAACAGAATATTGTGTCTCGGAGTTCTAAAGGTTCGCTCAGGGGAAGCGGCCAGCCAATGGCAGCGCGGCATACCGGCCCGCCGGCCAATGGCGCGCCGGGGGCGGGGCCGGGGCGCTGCTGGTTATTAGGGGAGCTGTCAAAGCCCAGAGGTCACTCCCTCTCCCTGGAACTGCTGCCGAGCAGGTCTTAAAGGGGCAGCGCCGCCGCCGGGGCCGCAGCCGCGCCGGGGGGCACCCGAGGGCTCGGGGCGGCCGGGGGGACACTTCTCCGCCGCTCTCCAGCTCCAGTTCTACCGCTCCGCGCCGCGAGAGGGAAAGCCCGGCTCGCTCCTCGCCCCCTCGCACGGCCGCCGCTGCCCCCCCCGTTCCGCAGGCAGAGTGCCCCGCCGGGGGAGTGAGCCCGCGCCGCCCGGTCGCTCCGCACGCTGCCCGGCAGCGTCCTCCCCGGGCTGCTTCCCTTGCTCCACAGCCGCGCTCCCCCCCCCAGGTCTCCGTGAGCCGCCGGCGCTGGCAGCGGCTTCAGAGCAACGCGGCTACCCCTCCCCCAGGAATTTCCCTCTCCCTGTCAGTCATCCCGGCCCGCAGCCCCTGCGCCCTTACATAACGCGCGGCGGCCGGACCGCCCGCCCGCTCGCCCGGCCCTGCACAGCCCCGCTCGGCTCTCACACAGAGCAACTTCTGGCGCGCCAGGAGCCGGCCCTCCGCTCCCTCCGGCACTGGGAGCCGCGAGGGAAAGAGCCCTGACCCGCGTTCCCCCGGACAGGCGATGAGAGGAGCGGGAGGCTGGACCCCGAACGCGACTGGGAGCAGGCAGAGTCCATTCCTGGGGAGGCAGCAAACTCCAGGAAGTCTGGTCTTACCTGCAACTAATTAAAGGAGCTTGCGAATGAATTATGGAGCATGACCCGAGTGATTTAAGAGGTGTCAATCCTAATCTCACTCTCAGAAGTAAATCCACTGAAGTTCACGAAATTATGCCAGTGTAAATTAGGCGTCAACAAGAGCAGAGTCAAACCAACAAGTTTCCTCCTTGTCTGATAGTAACGTCAACTTCGTCATCTCATACTTCTCTCCGTCCCTCAAAGGTCTCATCTCCCTTCAGGCATCCTCTATCCCTTTAAAAAACAAAACCAACCACCATCAAAACCAAGGCTGCTTCCCCGTTCTTCACATCTGTATTACCAGAAGAAACTCAACTAAAGACAATTAAAACACACTGCTGCAAAAGCAGTAAAAGGGAGGAGACTAGAGAACTAATTTGATTCACAACTTAAAGAATAAAAGAATGAAAGTAATGATGGTTGTGAGATATGAGGGTGCTAACAGAAGTAGAAATAGCAATCTTCCTGAGCTAGTGGGATGAAATTGAAAAGGTGAAGCAAACAAAATCTCTCTTGCTCAATTGTTTGACAAAATAAAACTCTCCAATACTGAGGCAAAAGAGAAGAGGAACGGAGAACAGAAAGGCAGAGAAATTATTAGTCACAGTGAGAAAGGGGAGATGAGAGTAAAGAGAATGAGGTTTGCATCAAAAGTTTGCAAAAAGTTGAAGTTTAAGGTCTGTCTAGGGTCCCTCTTTCCAAAACACTGCCTGCTCCAGCTACTAGGTCAACCTAGGTACTGTGCCAGGCATATATCCCTGGAGGGAATTATCTCTTCCATCAAAGCAATCTAAGCCATTTGGTTACAGGCACTGCTTAGGAGAAATAAGCTTTCTGTCAGCTGGAGAGTTGCCAAGATGCTGAGATCTATCCCAAAACAGTTCTGGGAAGTAATCTTTAAGAACGTTTCCATTATCATATTACATTATATTATTTAATATAGTAGTAGCCCAGGTGACATTGAATGTGACTTCAGACCCTCCTGTTCAGTACTCTCACTGCTCACAGGAAAAGCTAACCACAAACTGCCGAGTTGTCATAAGCACACAGTTGATGTACGTGCTGCAAAGAAACAAACGGCTTAGCAGGCACCTGAACTGGTGACCGTGGACTAGCAACCTATACTGCATCTTGCTATTATGAGGATTTCTGGTTCAACTTTTCATGTTGCCATGACATTCACTCAGCAGCAAACATTTTAGCAAGCATTTACCCTAGGATGGGCAATATTCACTTGTGGGATAACAATGACTTTGCTTCACACGTAAGAAAAAACAGCCTGGAACCGTAACACACTGCAGAACCAGAGACAGATTTGTGCAACTGAGAAAAGGCTCCAAAATCCAGCCAAACTCTAGAAAGCCCTGAGATTTTCTAATGAGAAATGGTGACATTTTCAGAGAATTAAGAAAACCTGTTTGAGGTCATTTTTAAGAGTTAATGAGTCCCTCTGGTCCTGTTTTGTTGGATATATAGGCCCATTCCTGCTCTTCAGGCAAAGAGCTCTTGGTGCAGCTTGGCAGGGAGCGTATTGCAAAAATGGGATTAAGCCACACGTGCTTCCCTGGCTGCTACTGTTCAGACGTTGGGCCTTTATCAGTACCAGCAAAAGCAACGAACAGTGAGAACAGGCACAGATGACCTTGGACTGTTGATAGCCCTTTTCCCAGGCAGACCCCACGCTCCTGGCCAGGAGAACCAGTCAACAGCACTGCCTCGCTCAGAGGAATCTCCAGGATGCTCAAGGACAGAGCTGCTATATCAGCACAGCGGAAAATCTCACCCACGGTAATAAAGACATCAGGCTTTGTTCACAAGTCCATATAATTTTCCTACCATGTGTTTCATTTAGAAAAAAAGAGGCACAGAGCACTGAGCGGCATTTTGCTTTTAACAAACTTTATTAATAAAAATTTTATGCCATGCCATAGTTACCTCCATTTTCACATACACACCAGTCCATCAGGAGCAGATCATTTATGAGCTAAATTTTTAGATTAAATTTTCCTCTGATCTTACTGTACTGTAAGTCAGTAATCAATAGTCTTGCTATTGTTTTACACCCTACAGGACCAACACATCTCAAACACACTCAATTACATGTATGCTGAGTTACAACTTCAGGATTTTTACAGTACTACATAGCTACTGTTAGTTTAATTCAGACTAACCTGAAACATAACAAGGAGGCTGCAAGAAAGTATAATTTAGAAGTAAATAATTTAGAAGTATTTTGCATAAAAAAACCTAGGTGGGTGTATTTTTAACTACAGGTTGCTTAATGTTTGGACAGCCAATATATACATTTTTAAAAAGAAAGGTAAGTTTTGACATAAATATATTGGGGTAAGATCTATAACATTAACACGAGGTATAGGCATACTGCATCTATAATACTGGACTGAGCAGGGCTTTAGAAGGCAGAGTCCACCACCTCACCTCCAGTCCCTGATACAGAACTGTACCTGATCTCTACCCAAGTAGAACACAGTGTTGTATCTTCTCAATGTACTGGGAAGTGTCATGTCTCATAGAACATAACACTGCTCTCCTGATCCACCTCCGTTTCTAACATTTTTACTATTTACATAATGCAAGCACGCTGACAATTTCTGTGAGGTCTCAACAATATTCCTGTTCACCCTGGAAAGCCTTATTTTGGCTGACAATATTTCACTGTGAAAGAATTTTTACCTGTTATTTATTATCTCCTGCTTTCCTTTTTATCTTTTCAGGTTTTAATGTAGAGTTGCTCTTTTCTGGAGGGAGGGAAAGTTAGGTTCTTATTATACATTTCTCAACTCTTGTGAATTGGAAAGTGAAACAAACTAGACACTGACACTGAAAGCCACAAATCTAATTTTGCTATGGAGTGAAACATAAAAGACAAAGCTGAAAAAAAAAAGAAGTGGCTTCTGGTAGATTAACAACAGTTTAATGTTCTCAGATATTTCCAGCAATATACAATTTTATTTTCTTTATATATATATTAATATGCAAAGTACCAGATTCATATAGCTTTAAATATGAGAGTGCAGTAATGTAGTTTGTTACAGCAAAACAGGGCACCACATGCACAGGTATCCTGCAAGAAATTTTAAGTCTTAACCCCTTTTTATTTATTAAAGCTGTGCAGGCATCTCTCATAGACTGTTTCTTGTCAGCCCTCCTCCTCACTTTCTTTGATCTTTATCAATAGTTGCTTAGCTGAAAGAGGAGGAAAAGATATCACAGTGTCAATGTTACAGACTCAACACCAGCCCTCTACAGACACATCACCAAAAAATTTACATAGTCAGCATAACAAAGATAACTATGGAGCTACACAGAGTAAAAATTGGCTCAACAAATCATTCTTCACAACAATGGGAACTGCATTCTTGGAAGGGACTTCAAATTTTTATTTTTTTTCTAAGCAAAATTTCCTCTGTATAGCTATAGCAACAATTCTTGGATGCCTTTAGTGTAGCTTGATTTCAGGCCTGATTCTGAGTTCCCAAAGTACACCTGGATTACTTCTATGCTGAGGTCTGGACTCAAGCCCCTTTATTTTTTTAGCGGGATGTTTTGATAAAATAAATATATTTTAACACTAAAGAAGTCTCTACTATTAAGAAATACACTGAGGCCTCAATCTGAAGCTTTCAAAAGTTTGGGGAGGCAGAAGTTTTTTAAGGTTCCAGAGTCTGGCTCAAATCTGTCCCCAATTTAACAAACTGCTAAAAGTCTATTTAGTGTGGCTTCCAGAAGATTCTTTGCCATGCATTGTTCTTAAACTTCCACAACAACAGAAAAATATGTTACAAACAAGCTACTTCAAAAGGGGAATACAACTTTGTTGTAGCCACTGCAATGCCATAGTAATAGTAGGGAAAGGAGTCTAATAAAACAGACATATGCTCTGAAGAGCACACATTCAATAACGATGGTTGTCCTCTCCATGAGGGGAGTCATTGGTAAAATTCAGAAGGGACAAAACTGAGTTCACATCACAAAGCTCATGATTTACACATCACAGGTCTGTCTGTCTTATTTCTTAAGTGAGTAATTAGCTGGGGGAAAAAAATTAAAGGAAAAAAGAATAAAGAAAA